AGCTTTTCTTCCCTCAAAATATGTGATAAAGTTTTCCACAAGATAAACTTTAACAAGTACACAATCATACAAAGACATCAAGACTAAATATCACTTCATTTTAATATAGCTGCATTACCTCATTGTTCTCCTTGATCCATCCATCCTGGTAGAGACAGTTAGCCTCATAGTCCAGAGGATCTCTTCTGGCTGTAACTGCTGGGCATCTTGCTCCAGCCAGTTCATCTCGTGTGTCCTGTGCTTCCTGTTGTTGCTGAAGCACATATGGCACATACGGCACATAGGGAATCATCTGGAATGACAAAATACAGCATTAGTAAAGTGCAGTTTTTATATTCCATTTTACTATATCAGGAGAATTTGCATTATTATTGGATTTGTTTTTAACCAACCAACCACTGACCCTCCTGGAAGTTGAGGTCAAAAAGTTTCTGTTCAAAAAAACTTACAAATAAGTGACGTATCACCATAAAAAAGTGGGGTCTGTAAACTTCCATCAGTGAAATTTTCAGGGTACTTTTTGCAAGTGCAATGGGTATTTTGCTTCTCGGTGTCTCAGTGTGTCCAATTGTCAGCTCTTGGTGTTACTGAAATGACTGCTCTCTCTCTAACCAACAACTGTTCTAATCTACTTCCATTATGATGCCTGAGATCTAAGTTCTAAATTCTGTCGCATCACAGTACAGTAAGTTCTAAGTTCTGAACACATTACGTCACAAGCCGTTACCTAGGTAATCTCGAGTTCATCAAAGGCAGAGCTCAATTTAATGTCAAACTCAAACAAGATTCATAAATGTTATACTGTCATATATATATATATATATATATATATATACTGTTATGTCATGATATCCCTCCAGTGTTTTTGAATGGGTGACAAAATGCTGCAGTTTCATTCCCTCTTCACACTGACTGGTTTACAAAGTAATCAAGTGACATTGTGGAGTATTTTTGGCCATTGCAGAGTCTATCTTTTAAATCTACCTTCAGGTCTAATGTTCTTTTTTTGATAGGCTTTGCTCCATATTAACGATGCTCAGATTTATTTATTTAACACCCACTGTAGTTTGTCTGTTTCAGCTGTAGCTAATTTCTTTCATCTGTAGTTTGTCATCCTAATCTGTACTTCCTCATTTTGGGCTTTGCTTCAACTTCTTTAGCTTGTACTCTGTCAGCTTAATGCTAATACTAGCAAGCTAACATTAATGT